GAAGCGAGCCTCGTCCAACCTATCAAACAGTTAAACCATTTTCTACTACTGCTGCCACCACGACAACAATCGCTCCTACAACCACCACGCTTTACGCTGCACCAAAACGAAGATGCGAGGACCATCCGAAGTGAGGAGAATCCTTCAGCGTCAGGGGATAACAACTGCTAATGATTTTTCAGGTGCCCTATTTACGAATTGAACGGGATCTGCACAAGAGACTACTTCTCGGTACAGTTCAGGAAACAAATGTGTCCTAAGATGTGTAAACTGTGTGATTGAAATAACTTCAGTATTTGAATAAATATGGATTACTGATTTTCATTCCATGATGAGCCAACAGGTCGCTAATGTGGAGAGGGACGGTTTGGCTGCTATCAATTTTACCCCAGCAATACACACCCGTCATTTCAGTAGCGTTTTCTCGGCAACTCGATCCTGAAGGCCTTTCTTTTGCATGGGATGGATGGTCCAGACTATTTTATGAGTCTTCTACGAGGAAAATTTGAATAACCGCAATGATCATGTAAATCCACAAGTGGTCTGTATTGAAGAAGCAAACGCAAGAAGCACTAGTTGGAAGTTTCATTTAGCAGTGCGATAACGGCTTAGCGAAGAAAATCCTCAAAACTGAGGCTGTGTGTCATTTGAACGAGTTGGCTGTGTTCTCCCTCAAAAACGAGGCCTTCTGAAAGAGTATCGAGAAAGAGGCTGAAATGCGAATTGCAGGAATAATTGGTACTTTTACACATTCTCACTACTCAATCAGCTACATGATTTTTGAGTTGGGTAGAGATACTATGACATAAGAAAAAACTGAAGATGATACATTTCCCTTCGTCGGTATACTTATCTTATACCCATGAAGGGGAACGAGCATAAGCATGTGGTAACTGCCTCGAATTCAAAAGAGGTCTTTATTAGGTGTTTAGAGCAAGTGACGGATGCGGGAAGAATTGAGTTTTCACGTATTATGAATTTACTGCACTATTTACCCTTTACTGCCCCACTTTGTTGAGAATGGGCTGGATTTCAATCGAATTTTTTTTCAAAAGGATGAATCCGACTGGAAACTTGCCTAGAGGGGCAATTTGACCCGTAGAACACGAATATTGCATTCAGTCGTCATGAAAATGCTTGGCGATTGCTCCACAGGCGCCTGCGCCAATTGGGCGCTTTGGGTGTTGGGTCACCAAACTTCCTGAAAACTTGCTCCCTGGGTTAGTTTGACCCGTAGAACACGAATGTCACATCCACTCGTCATGAAAATGCTTGGCGTTTGCACCACAGGCGCCTGCGCCAATTGGGCGCTGGGTCACCAAACTTCCTGAAAACTTGCTCTCTGGGATAGTTTGACCCGTAGAACACGAGTATTGCATCCACTCGTCCAGAAAATGCCTAGCGCCCCGCTTCGCTTTTTCTGGTGAGTGCGCTAGAGTGCGCGCTAATATCGATGGTTCGTTTTGTCGCCAAAACCAAATGATTTGTTGCCAGACTCATGAATTTCTCCTTTAAACCAAACATGGCTCTCAACGCTTTGCATCGCCATAATCGCTGATGGAGTTGAAGCATTTCAAGTGGTTGGACTTGTGTGGAAAGCTGAAAACTGAGCGCGGGCGACTTTCGAGCATGGTTACGGAGCCAAGGACTACAAGCAGTCCCAGTGTGCCCAATATGCTCTGCATCCATGAGTATTAGACCTCAAGAAGATGTATGGATCTGCCATAAACGTGCTTGTAGGACGAATGAAGCGACGAAGCCATCCTTGTCTGTTCGGCACGGAAGCTTCTTTGCAAACTCCAAACTTCCGGAGTCCACCATCTTTGCAAATGCCTACTTTTGGCTCCGTGAATTTGGATCCTTCCGAACCAAGTCGTTCGAGCTTGGCGTGAGTGCGAAGATGCTAACCTATTGGGAGCGTCGTTTAAGGAGCATCTGTTCTCGGTTCTATAGAAGGCATCCTATAAATTATTGGCGGACCAGGAGTAATTGTAGAAGTTGACGAGACGAACGTCACGCGAAGGAAGTACAACCGAGGCAGAATTGTGCGGAGAAAGGAGTGGCTAGTCGGAGGTGTCAAGAGAGGTAGTGGCCGGGCATTTATGGTTTTGGTGAGGCGCCGTGATGCTGCCACCCTGACGAACATTATTCTCAAATTCATCCGACCAGGAACAACAATAATGTCCGATTCATGGAGAGCATATTCGCAGCTGTCTAGATTGCCTGCAGGATATCGACACCTCACCGTAAATCACATGGTTAATTTTGTCGATCCTCAAACGGGTGCACACACCCAGAACATCAAATGGTTGTGGCAGAAGTTCAAGATGGTGCCCAAGAAGAAGTATGGTCTGTTTGCGAAGAGATACACCGATTACATCAGGGAATTCCTGTGGCGTCGCGAGTTTGGAGAGCCTGGAGAGATCATCTCTAACTTATTCGAGCATGTTCTGGAAATTTATCCGTGTTGAATGTTATCCATCAAGTTCCAACACCAACGTAATTAACCCAACGACCCTCTTTAGGGCCACATAATACGAATACCATGAATGTGTATAGTTACCATGCAGAATAAATATGGTAACCATGTTCTAACACACTACTTAGGGGCAAGTTTTCAGGAAGTTTGGTGACCCAGCGCCCAAAGCGCCCAATTGGCGCAGGCGCCTGTGGTGCGAACGCTAAGCATTTTCATGACGAGTGGATGCGATATTCGTGTTCTACGGGTCAAATTACCCTTCTAGGCAAGTTTCCAGTCGGTTCCATCTTCTTGAAAAAAATTCTATTNTGGTGACCCAGCGCCCAAAGCGCCCAATTGGCGCAGGCGCCTGTGGTGCGAACGCTAAGCATTTTCATGACGAGTGGATGCGATATTCGTGTTCTACAGGTCAAATTACCCCTCTAGGCAAGTTTCCAGTCGGTTCCATCTTCTTGAAAAAAATTCTATTGAAATCCAGCCCATTATCGACAAAGTGGGGCAGTAAAGGGTAAATAGTGCCGAATTTACCAAGCAAATAGCTTTTCACTGAAAGCCAAACTACACAGCAAAACAGAGAAGGAAGATGGCCCGAAGTTAGGAACGTACGCAAGAACATTCCCAGGAAGAGGGATGATGAATCTCTCACAATCGCTGCCTATTGGAATGGCCAAGCCGTGGGGTTATTTCATTCGCAACCCGTATTTAAAAGAAGTACCGTACCAGCGATTTTCCAGATATCCTCGTCACATGATAAATGTACCCTGTACAAGTGCTTCATCACGGTAGAATTCAGTAAGCAATTGTTTCTTAAAGGGCATGTCATCACAATGATCAATTGTCGTCGGCCATGCGAAAAACTTAGGTTCGCTTTTCTTCTTTCCAGTTATTTCGAAGGTAGAATTTGATTGAACGCAACAACATAAAATTGGCATGAGGAAGCCTCTCTTCTACTTTATGAGAGTACCTCAAGCCCTCTCCTTCACAAATGTTGTCAACGTTAAACAAAAACAGTGAAAAAACAAGATTGACACGAAATATCACGATTTGGTGACATGTCCTTCTGACAGACAGGGAGAGGACATACCACGATCGACTTTCTTTTAATCTTGGCATGACTTTTCACCGATATGTATATTTATTTGCCTCAGCCTTTCCAAGATACCGAAACGAGAGGTATCTTATCTTATCTTATCTTATAACGTTAGCCCTATTAAGTTTAGAATCTTGGAAAGGGAGAGGACAGTTTGACAATTACCACCATTTCATTGCTCTTTGTTTTAAAGATATGCTGGCCTGTTCGGAAAGTTCCCGCCGATTTCGAACAACTTCGGTTCATCAAGTGTTGTACAACAGATCAAGGATCTCACCTCATAGAGTCACGTGTTTTCTTAAAGAGCAGGCCCCTTTTTATATTAATGTTGGGATTCTCTCAGCATCTGTCAAAGTCTGTCAGTACAGCACTCGCGTGAAAATTGAGGACCACTGGGTGCATCCGAAGCGCTTCTTCTACCGCAAGGCCTGGAATGTGGCTCAAGCCGCGACAAAGATTCGTGACGTTCAAGGAGACAGTGCTCTAAAGAATCGTACAGTGCGTGATTACTGTGCAAAATCGGAACAGAGTGAATTCACCCTCGAAGACCGGTAGTACTCAGGGAGGCTATCATCTGTTAAAATGACCAAATCAAAATGTGAACCGAAGCGAATCGACACATCACTACTCGTGGAGTAGGACAAGGGCTTGGTGTATCGAAATCAACCATCCTTGATCATCTGATGGGCCTTGGTTTTGTAAAGCGCCATGATGATGGGATACCTCACGAAATGACCGAGCGCAATATGATGGACCGTGCTTCCGTGTGCGACTTGTTGCTCAAACGAAATAAAAATGAGCCGTCTTTGTAACGCATGAGCACTGAGGATGAAAACTGGATTGCGTACAACAATCAGGAGCGGAAACGATCGTGGAACCTCCCTACTGAGCCGTCACAAATCGCTGCAAAAGTCAAAATCCAGGTGCAGAAAACTATGCGGAGTTGCTTGTGGGATTCCAGCGAGATCACTTGCCATGAGCTGTTGTCGCATAATCAAACGATGATTCCGGAAAGGTACTACAGTTAGCTAGAAATTTTGGAGGTAGCGATAGACCAGAAGCGACCCGAACTGGCCAAACATGGGGGTGTAATCTTCCAACAAGGTATCTCCAAGCCACACGTATTTTTGGCCACTCGTCAGGAAATTACTAAAGCTTGAGTCGAATGTCTTACAACATCCCCATATAGTCCGGACATAGCAGCATCAGAATACCACTTACTTAGGTTTCTGCAGAATTCTTTTGATGGAAAATCGTTCATTCACTTGGAGGACTCCAAAAAGCACAAAAAGCACCTGAGAGTGTATTTCGATATCAAGACTGGAATCTTTTATGAAAGTGGGAAACTGGAACATACAGGAACATGGCGAATCCTCAGTTAAAATGGAGGATATACTGTTTGATCAGAAGATTTCTTCTTTTTAAGAATTTTCATTCAAAGATGAATCAATAATCGGCGGAGATTTTATGGACAACCCAATAAAAAACAGAACTTAAAGGCACAGTTACTAAGGTTTTTNTACTAAAGCTTGAGTCGAATGTCTTACAACATCCCCATATAGTCCGGACATAGCAGCATCAGAATACCACTTACTTAGGCTTCTGCAGAATCCTTTCGATGGAAAATCGTTCATTCACTTGGAGGACTCCAAAAAGCACAAAAAGCACCTGAGAGTGTATTTCGATATCAAGACTGGAATCTTTTATGAAAGTGGGAAACTGGAACATATAGGAACATGGCGAATCCTCAGTGAATAGAATGGAGGATATACTGTTTGATCAGAAGATTTTTTCTTTTTAAGAATTTTCATTCAAAGATGAATCAATAATCAGCGGAGACTTTATGGACAACCCAATAAAAAACAGAACTTAAAGGCACAGTTACTAAGGTTTTTTATTTACTTATGCTTATAAGTGAATGAATTTTGGCTTGAAATAGTCTGTTATTTGTACCACGATCCACTCGTACGCAGTGAGACACATTGTATAGCTCGCCCAAACACGCATTTTACTTCATTTTTCTGGTCTTCTTCTCGTCCAACCCCATTTTAATGATTTTTCAAAGTCTTTATCACTTTGGAAACACCGATTCACGCAGTTTCTCACCTTCATCGCACTATTTTCGACCTTGTCTTCCATTTTTCTTCATAGTCTGAATTACTCAAAATAATCGTGAGGACTGTGCCTTTAAGCAGTGGAGGTGGGAGGAATGAGAACAACTGCTCATTCTCACTGGGGGGAGGGGGAGGGAGGGAGGCGTTTTAACCTAACCCTCGAAAGCCTAGACCGATCTCTTTGTTGAGAGCTACATAATCTTGCTGACTCTGGGATCAAAGGAAACCTGGAAACCTTCGTATATGTTGAAAGTGGGCAAATGTTTTTTTTTCACTCAGCAGACAGATTCCTCCTCACTCCTCCTCACATTCCTCTATGAAATGCTGGATCGTGAGCCTTTCGGCTTGACTCGGATTGCCGAAAACGAGAACGCACGCACGTAGGTACCCGCACTTTATCGCCTTGTATTCCATCGCAGTAATCTAATCTTTTCATTTCTGCGGGAAGAGGGCGGAGGTGAGACAGCTACAAGTGGTTGATTTATCACTGCAACTAAATCCCGGACCTATACCCATTCAAGCCAACAAAAGCATCTATCTTTTCACGTTCAATTAGTCAATAAGTGTTAGCTTGGAATGAGCGAAAATGATGTAGTGGCAAGCGGCGCACTATATCACACGCATGGCCACGAGTTCGAATCCCGGATTGATATCCGCCTGGGCCAATCAGGCCACGACCCTCACGGCCGCATGTTTGGCACCAATTTTGTCTGGGAAGATAAAAGGGATAGCCCGTGGATAAGTGTGTAGGCTCACGTCTGCACTTAGAAGGGGTGCGAGTTCAATCCCTGCCCAGGCAAATCCATGCCTTGCAAAAATTGCAAAAGAGTATCGGTTCCAGCGCCAGGCCCGGGTTTACAGGCCGGCTGACGGAGAAAGCAGCCACAATAAATAAATATGTCTAATGTCTCAAAGAGTATCAGTAATAAAGATAGGACGTCACAAGCAAGTGGCGCACAGGACCCCCGCCCGCGTTCTGTGAACAGTATGCGAGTATGCTACCGACGCGTGAACGACCTCGGCCAAAGAAGTTAGTTCGAATAGGGACTCTAAATGTGGGATCGCCTACTGGGAAGTCCCTTGAGGTCGCTGATCCTATGAAGCGCAGGAATATCCAAGTCCTATGCCTACAGGTGACCCGCTGAAAGGGAGCAAAGGCCAGAGCAGTTGGAGAGGGTGTCAAACTCTTCTACAACGGAGGAGACACCAAACGAAATGGTGCGGCCATAGCAGTGGCAGAGTAACTGAAAGATTCTTCCTCCGCCGTCAATAGGATCAGCAGTCGAATGATGGCTGTGAGGATAAACACGAAGCAGGAGTACTAGACAATAATATCAGTGTACGCACCTCAAGTCGGCTGCCCATCTACGGAAAAGATGAGTTCTATCTGAGCCTTGACGAGGCCATCCGATCGGATCCGGAGGGGGACTATCTAACCATAGCAGGTGATCTGAACGGGCACGTCGGTAGTAAAAGAAGGGGTCTGGAAAGGGTACATGGAGGTAGAGGAGTAGGAGTCAGAAACGAAGAAGGAGAGAGAGTCTTTCCCCTGGCCATAGCACACGAATTGACGGTCTGCAGCACTTCCTTCGCGAAAAGAAAATCCCAGAAGGTAACCTACAGCACTGGAGGGAAAGAAACGAAAATAGATCATGTGCTAGTAAGAAGATCGTCCCTCGAATTTGTAAAGGGCATCAAGGTACTGCCCGGAGAAGATCTGGCTCCACAGCACAGACTTCTTCTAGCAGGCATAGCCGTTGATCTTCCTAAGAAATCAAGGACAAGAAC